TTCATTTTCTAATACTACTTATTTATAATTAATTTTTTTAATGTTTTGTTAATTAATATATTAAATTTAATCCCATCCATTTAAATATTACAATATAAAAAAAATTATTTTTTATAATTTATCATAATTTTTATAGTCGAGGGCAGGAAATATAACTATCATCTCTGTCTCCATTTAGTCAATCGAGCATGAACAACTATTTCTCGAGCATAGGTTTAGGTTCAGCCTTAATAAAACGAACCACCTAACAATGAATCTTCACTGACCAAGAACTACGAGAAATATGCAGCTGGGTTCTCCAGATCGAATAATTAGTTTACATGGTTTGATCTTATCCTTGTTGCTCTCTTTCACAATTTTCATGTAAAGAACGTTTTTTTTCTTTCATATCTGGAACAGGTGCTTGTCGTTAAACGAATATCTGTAATAAAAAAAAGAAAAAAATTTAAAAATGTGATAAATTGTGTGACTGTTTCATCATTATTATTATTATTATGAGTGTTGAAAGAGCTCAATAATTTGAGTTGAATTTGGGTTCCCTATGCGGGTGGCTAGTGAAAGTGATTCAGCGAAGAATGGACCAAAGGCCGGCGGACGCCATGGACCCATGTGCCGCCTGCGCCTGCAACTCCAACCTCCCACGCCTCCCGATCAACTCACGATTTCGTCTTTCAACTTTCACGTTCGTGTTCAAAAAAATTTAAAGATATTTTTTAGTGTGGAAACCTCTTCTTAGAAACGCGCGACGATACATAACGGGTCAAAATAGACTATTTACTAGCGATGGATTTGGACCGTTACAGTTGACATCAAAGCCAGACATTAGGTGGTGTGCTAATGAGGACGTTAGACCTCTAAGAGAGTGGTTTGTAAGATTAGGTGTGAAAAACTGTCTCGAAAAACACGTTTTAAAATTGTAAAGCTGACGGGTCGAACTTTTAAATGTATTTCTCAACTACTTCTTCTACCTTCCCCTTTTCCTTTTGTTTTGTAGCTTTCAATTCATTCACTCAAATCTTATATTTTATTAAGATTTTCGTTGTTCGTGTTATGTTACATCACTTATAATCAATTAATTATGTTTGGATCTTATCGCTTCCTTAATTTAATCAATTTATGTTTCTTTAATTTGTCATGTACGTATAGTTTATGTTTGTTTTTAGTTGAATTTTTGATCGAATGAATGAGTTTTGCACAGTTGAATCTAGATAATTTGTATTTGTACCCTAAAACGTGGTTTTTTTGTTATTTAGTATTATAGTTGATATACTCGTAAATACATATTGTAACACCCAAAACCTACCGCTAGCCGATATTATCTTCTTTGAGTTTTTTTTCTTTTCTTTTCGGGTTTCTCCTCAAAATTTTTAAAACTCTTGTAAAGAAACTACCTCACGGGGCCCAGTCGATGTGGGATCTCACAATCTATCCCCTTGGGGCCCAACGTCTTCGTTGACACTTGTTCCCCTCTTTAATCAACGTGGGATCTCACACATATCATTGAGTTCGAGTTCGGGTTCGAAGGTGAACATCACCTAAAACTAAGGATTTTCTCCACGACTTTAACGTATCGAATCCTACAAGAAAAATATGAGCCATATGATAATCGAGCGTAATAAATACGAGCATCCCATGAATGTGTTTGCTATCATATCATGAAATTAATAATATGAGCTAGCATTACCAATTAGGTATGTATAGCTATTCTTACTTTTAGAGAGAATAAAAAGGACCAAAATATTTATAGATTAGGGTTTGGAAGGGCCACCACCACTCTTTCCAAGTCTTCACCAAACAATACTTTGAAAACCTCATCATTTCCAACTAAAACGTTGACTCGATTTAGGTCTTGGTGATATCGATTCATTCTCGACCTGATAAAAACACGTTTATGTTTTATTGGTATATCATGTGTCAAATCGTCACTTTTTCTTTTTATCTACCTAATAAAACTAGTAATTTTAAATTACTGTTACGTTTTTTACTTGTTGAGTTATGCTCGAATTGACTAAATTAACTTGGAATAAGTACTCGTAATTTAGTCTCGAAAATCCCGAGTCACCAATTTAATGGGTCGGTGATTAATTAGTTAATTAATCTTTTTGGGTTATTTAATTAATCCATATTTCCACCACCCACATCAACATTAATGGGAGAAGGTGATTAGATTGGATTATTTTAAAAAAATTCTATTGCTTCGTGATTTGTGATGTAAATTCAACCAATTACAGGTTAAATCGATTAATCCAGTTGATGTGGGATCTCAGAGTCCACCTCCCTTAGAAGTTCAGTGTCCTCGTTGGCACATTGTTTAGTGTCTAGTTCTAATATCAACTGTAACAGCTTGAGGTCATCGCTAGTAGATATTGTCCGCTTTAGCCGGTTATGTATCGCCTTCAGTCTCACGATTTTAAAACGTTCTACTAGGGGAGGTTTCACACCCTAATAAGGATTTTTTCGTTCCCCCTATTGAGCCACCAAAAATAAAAGTGCACGTTATTAATATACACAATAACTTTTAAGCATTTCTTCACTATCACTCTCATTCAGATGTGGTATCGATTCATTTACTTGATCATCACAATTTATGGGTTAAATTGTCCGAGATTGATTTAATCCAACCGATATGGGATCTCACATTCCACCTCACTTGGAAGTTCAGTGTTCTCGCTGGCACACCGTTTGGTGCCTAGCTCTGATATCAACTGTAACAGTTCGAGGTCACCGCTAGTAGATATTGTCCACTTTAACTCATTATGTATCGCCTTCAGTCTCACGATTTTAAAACGTTCTACTAGGGGAGGTTTTCACACCCAAATAAAGAATTTTTTCGTTTCTCTCTCCAACCGACGTGGGATCTCACACAAACCAACATGGGTCACTTCGGCATGAGTTGTCTTCACTCACATGCTTCCTTCAAAAAATCAAACATAAAATAACTCCAAACAAAACACGTTTCACTTTGGAGTTCTCACTATTTCATTATCACTCTCATTCAGATGTGGTCTCGATTCATTTACTTGAGCATCACAATCAAAGCTCTTCTTCGACATGCATGAATAAAAAAACCCGAATAAATGTGACAAGAATAATAACACTATATATGAAGCTAGTATTAAATTAATCGATACTATAAAGTTATAGGGGTGTTGTGTTCACAATGAGACCTTATATTAATAAATTTTATGTTGAATTAATGTTCAAATTTGTCCATTGTATGCAACCCCCATATGAACAATCCTAAAGTTAAGGTGACATTGTCACATATTTATTAAATGCATAGTCAATGATTATGACACACCCACAAATCCATTATTTTAATTATTATCATTATTATTATTATTATTCATGGGTTGTTTCTTGCAAACTTCCTTTGCCTTTTACTTATGCCAATTACATTATTGCCCCTCTTTTTGTGTGGAGTGGGAGTGTTTTTAGGGCCAATTTAATTGCCCTTGTATGGTCAAAAAGAGACAAAATGATTTATTAGCTAGAAATTAAAAAGTTTTCAACACTAGGGTATGGTGTAGTTTGGAATGATTTGGCGAGGTTTGAATAAGCTCGATATTTAGTCAACCTGCTTTAATCTTATAATCGTCGGTGTTGACTTTTTTTTAGCTTGGCGTGTCCTTAGCTAGCTAAAGAAAGAAAAAAAAAAACATATAGTTGGAGGTCAAAGACTAGAGTTCGGTTTTCACAATATAGGAAAAAGAGAGTTGTTTTGCTATTCTCGTTAATTCGAGGGTTAAAAGAGAGAATTGGTGCTGGCTGTTTTTCCAATTTGAACTAGCGGAATAGACCTCTTATTAGTCGAACGGCTTTCTTCGGTGAGTGCAGTTGTTCAACTTCAACCCTTGAAAATGCTGGTTATCGCTCTTTCGAGAGTTAGGATTGGGGCATGTTCTTTCTCAATTTGAACTAGCGGAATAGACCTTTTTTGGGTCGGAAGGCTTCCTTCTGTGAGTGCGCTTTTTCAACGTTTCTATGGACGTGGACATTTAAATCTTTTCAAAACATTTCAAATTTTGGAGTTTGGGCCGTCATTTGTAGGCTTTTGGACCGACCACTCACACCTTAGATCAAAGGGGCAGTTTCGAAATTAAGAAAATTATTGGTGTAGCTCCCGTGTCCGGCATGGATGCTATCTACTCCGACAATTTTATATCTAATAAGTTTCTAAGATTTTAAAATTTTCAAATTTATGTCTAATTTTTCAAACTCGTGTTTAAAAAATTCTTAACCTAAAAAAAAATCGGAACTTATTTGTCATAAAATTATTGACAAAAATTTATTTTATTTATTTATTTATTATAAAAAGAGTGCAAATAATTATATCATATTATTAAACATTGTAATAAAATTATATCCTAAATTTCTTAATATTATTATTAATTGAGATAGGAAAATACATGGCTAACTTAGTCATTGGGCTTTGAATCTAAAAGGCCCATACTTATTTTAGTAAGGCCCATTAAGAGGTCTCTTGGGCTTCTACAAGAGGAATCCACAAAGCCCATCCTATCTGCCCTTCAATGAGGTTATCATTAAAATAAAAAATTGACTATTTCTTTTTTTTTTTTCTTTATGTTCTAATTCTTTTTATTTTTCTTTGAAAATGTTTAAATATTTATTTTTGTGGAGATTGAGGATTTGCGGAGATCGAGCTTGCCATAGTACTTTTTTTCCTGTTTATTATTATTTTTTTAAATAGTTATTTTACAAATTTTCATTTTTTAATATAAAGACACAGGAACAGGGACAGAGAATATAATCCATACTCATCTCCTGCCCCATTTATCTGACGAAAATGGACACCTGTTCGGAGAAGAAATGGACATCTCTAGTTGAATATAAAGGTACGGGGACGGGGACAGAGAATATAATCCATAGCCATCTCCTGCCCCATGTATCTGACGAAAATGGACCTGTTCATAGAAGAAATGGACATCTCTAGTTGAATATAAAGGCACGGGGACGGGGACAGAGAATATAATCCATACCCATCTCCTACCCCATTTATCTGACGAAAATGGACACCTGTTCGGAGAAGAAATGAACATCTCTAGTTGAAACTATATAACTAGTAAGGAAAAAAATTATAATGATATATATTTAAATTTTAAAATTAAAATTATATAATAAGATAAAATAAAATTACAAGTTAAATTCCTTAATTTTAATGATATATCCAATAAATACAAATTTTTTAAAAAAGAGTATTAATTCTAAAGTTTAATATTTATTAAATATATGGTTGGTGGGAATAAACCATGACACACGTGTCAAGATCCCGCTGGTGGCGCCATTAATTGCGTCTATATCAGCTTCAAACCGGGCCCCATAGGGACTCACAAAAACCATTAACTTTTTATAGGAGATGGCGCGTGTACTACACGTGCCACCCGGCTTCAAAAACCCGAGGGCCCATACCCATTAGATCGGTTCGGATCATGCCACGACATTTGGGGACGCGTGGCAAGCATTTATTATTTAAAATACATTTATTATTACCTTTCAAATTAAAAAAAAAATAAATTAATTAACAAATAGTTTTAAATAAAATTTTAATTTTGTATTATTTCTGTTAATATAGGAACAAAAAGCATTTCTGTAATAAAATTTAAATTATTTTTTTTAAAGAGGATATTTATGAAATTTTAAAAAATGAGTATTAATGGTTTAGTCATATGCACTACGGTGTCACAATCGCACTTTTCTTAACAGCGAATTTGCGATTGTGCAGCACTTACTCTTAACAACAAGTGAATCAAGCCAATTTGTATTCACATCAACTAGTGATGGACAACGTATGCTCAAGCCTAGCCCCATTTGAAAACAAAGATTTAAAAAACGGGGTAAAGAGATTTTTTAAAGCGAGTTTGAGAGTAAGAACGAGAGAATATTTAAAAGTAACGTTATATACCTATAAGTAAAAGGCAACCGAACGACTTAAATGACATATAACTTTTGGGTAAAGAGAATTTGACAAATAGTCGCATCCTAATGTATTTCGAGTCGATGAAGGTATGATAGACCTAGATATGATTTCACCAAAGAGTCATACCAAATCACGAGAGGAGATGACAACTAATCACACTACCTATAGTATATTTTGAGACCATTCTAGCAAACTTAGACATGATTTAGTTGGCGAGTGGTTTATTTAAGAGGAGCAGCAGCCAGTCTGAGAGGACCCAGATTCAGTGCCCTGTCATTTCCATTACTTCAAAATCTCTGCAAAATCAACTGCGTTTTTCTTCTTGTTCTTGATGGGCGTTTTGGATCATTTCTCTGAGTATTTCGATTGCAGTTCCCACAGTTCCAAGCACAAGAAACGCAAGCAATTGCAGGTAAAAATCCCCCCCAGTTCTTCAAATTTCTCCTCTGTTCTTGGTTAGATTCTTCATTTTTTCCCGTTTTGATTCAAAATCGTATGGTTTTTTCTCTCCGATTCTGTTTCTTCGCCATTACAGACAGTGGAATTAAAGATTCGAATCGACTGCGAAGGTTGCGAGAGGAAGGTGAGGAGAGCGTTGGAGGGGATGAAGGGGGTAAAGACCGTCGACATTGATCGCAAGGCCAATAAAGCCACCGTCGTTGGATACGTCGAGCCGTCCAAAGTGGTGGCGCGTGTCACTCACCGTACCGGTAAGAAGGCGGAGCTCTGGCCTTATGTGCCGTACGACGTCGTGGCTCATCCCTACGCGCCGGGAGTGTATGACAAGAAGGCTCCAGCTGGGTACGTGCGAAAGGCTGATGATCCCAATGCGTACCAGCTCGCACGTGCGAGTTCCACTGAGGTTCGCTATACGACGGCGTTTAGTGACGAAAATCCCGCGGCGTGTGCTGTTATGTAATGTGCTGTAATTTTGTTTCTTTTATTATTATTATTATTTTGTGGGTTTTGTCGTTTTCCTAGTTTTGTTAGTTAATGTTATTGGTTTGGATATTTTTGTTCTTTAGTCCAAAGAGTTATTATTATTATTATTATTATTATTTTGTGGTATGATTGATATTGGCTGTCGTGTCCTTTGGTGGGGCTAGTTTTTTCAATGATTTTTTCAATTTTAATTTTATGCTCGGGATCCTGATTAAGATTTTAAATTTATAATCGGCACCTAATGGTGGCTCGTTTTCCTACAACATGACCACGTTATCTACTTATCTTAAAATGTTTCAGTGAAGACTAGCTGCGTAGATCGTGTTAAGAATGAGAAATTCTGATACTATGTTAAGAACGAGAAAAGAGTTACCATGTTAAGAACGAGAAACGTAAGTGGAATCAACATGTTTTGTTCTCATTCATATGATTTCTCGAGTAACGACCCATATTCACACTATCAGATATTGTCCTCTTAGGGTTTTCCCTTTCAGATTTTCTCTTACGGACTTCCCCTCAAAGTTTTAAAATGCGTCTGCTAGGGGAAGATTTACACACCCTTATAACGGGTGTTTTGTTCTCCTCCCCAACCAACGTGGGACATCACAATCCACCCTAAACTTCGTGGCCGAGCGTTCTCACTGGTACTCGTTCCTTTTTCCAATTGATGTGGGATCCCCACCAAATCCACACCCTTTGGGGCCCAACGTCCTTACTAGCACACTGCCTCGTGTCTACCCCCCTTTGGGGAACAACAAGAAGGCTGACACATTGTTCAGTGTCTGGCTTTGATACCATTTGTAATGATCCAGATCCATCGCTAGTAGATATTGTCCTATTTGGGCTTTCCCTTTTGGGCTTCCCCTCAAAGCTTTAAAACGCATCTGCTTGCTACGGTAAGATTTCCACACGTGTTTTGTTCTCCTCCCCAACCAATGTGGGACATCACAATCCACCTCCCTTCGGGGCCCAGCATCCTTGCTGTCACTCGTTACTTTCTCCAATCGATGTGGAACCCCCACCAAATCCACCCCCCTTTGAGGCCCAACGTTCTTATTAGCACACCGTCTCGTGTCTACCCCCCTTCGGAGAACAACGAGAAGGCTGGCACATCGTCCAGTGTCAGGCTTTGATACCATTTGTAACGATCTAATCCACCGTTAGCAGATATTGTCCTATTTGAACTTTCCCTTTCGAACTTCCCCTCAAAGCTTTAAAACGCGTTTGCTAGGGAAAAGTTTCCACATGTGTTTTGCTCTCCTCCCCAACCGATGTGAGATATCACAGGTCAGTAACTACAATTTTAAATAATTATTAACTATTTTATAGGAAGTAACTATCAAATTATCAATTATTTTAAATAATTATTAACTATTTTATCATCTCGATCACTTTTATTTAGATTGTGGTCCCATTCATTCATTTATTAACAGTTTACTCCGTCGTCACATATTTATAATGAAACATTGTTAATGATCTAAATTACCTGTAAATTAATAATTTAAAAAAAAAATATACGTGTAATACCTATTCTAATTGGGTTTGAAAATTAAATTTAAAGAATTATTTTAACATTTTTCAATTATATGAATGTTAATGTGATATTATAAATTTGAAATAAATGATTTTTATTTTATTTTATTTAATTTTCCATGTAATCAGAAAATGTTAAAACCCAACAAAATAATTGAAATATTTTTTTTTTTGAAAAAGGAATAAATTTTAAAAAAGACCAAAAAATATAATTTAATTTATAAGTGGGCCGGGCTTGATAATCTCAATCTCGGCCCAATTTGTTCAAATCTGTTGGTGTATATAAAGCGCGTCATCTTCATGGAAGCCCAAAATTTCTAGCGGGAAAAAGTTTCACGAAGCTCCGTCAGAGTCGCAACAATGGCGGGAGAACAGAACGGCGGTGTCGATGAGGTGATGGAGGAATTCGCCATCTGGAAGAAGAATTCTCCCTATCTGTACGATCTTCTCATTTCCCACTCTCTTGAGTGGCCGTCTCTCACTGTTGATTGGGTGCCATTGGCACCATTTCCTCACCCAGCCAATTCTTCTCTCGCTGTCCACAAGCTCGTTCTTGGAACTCACACTTCGGAGGAAGTCCCCAACTTTCTCATGGTGGCCGATGTAATTTTACCTGTCAAAGCATCCGAAACTAGAATCGACATTACTGGGGAAAACCCCATCATGCCGGAGGTTAGTGATGAATTGTTACTTTGTGCGTGCTAGGTGTTTGATGAAATGCCTTGCTGAAATTCTGTGATGTTTTGTATTGGGTTTTGGTAGGTAGAGATAACCCAGAAGATACGTGTTGATGGAGAGGTGAACAGAGCGCGATGCATGCCGCAGAACCCAGAAATTATTGGGGCAAAAACGAGTGGCTGTGAGGTGTATGTTTTTAATTGTGCTAAACAGGGGGCGAAGGCTCAGGGAGGTGAGTGCGATCCTGATTCGAGATTGAGGGGTCATGATAAAGAGGGTTATGGGTTGTCTTGGAGCCCTTTTAAGGAGGGTTACCTCTTAAGTGGCTCAAATGATCAGAAAATCTGTTTGTGGGACGTGTCTTCCATGGCTGACAAGAACGTTCTTGATGCAATGAACGTCTATGAGGTAAAGGAACTAATCTTCCTGTTTTTTTGTTGAGGGCTATTGTTTTTAACTTTACTTTAAAATGGTATTGCTGTTTTTATTTTCAGGCTCATGAAAGTGTGGTCGGTGATGTGTCATGGCATTTGAAGAATGAGAACTTGTTTGGATCTGTAGGCGATGATTGCTTGTTGGTGATATGGGATTTGCGCACAAATAAATCTGTGGATTCTGTTCGAGCTCACGAGGAGGAGGTAGTTCTATTCTGAACCTCTTTGTAGCATTAGGCAATTGACTCTCTTACTTGCTTAGCTTGTTAATGTCTTGGTTGGTTAGGAATCACGACTCTTCACAATGGTATGATATTGTCACTTTGAGCATAAGCTCTTATGGCTTCCTTTTGGGTTTCTCCAAAATAACTCATTCTAATGGAGATGTATTCCATACTTATAAACTCATGATCAATGCCTAAATTAGCAAATGTGAGACTTCCTCCCAACAATCTTCAACACCTTTCTGAAGTCGGGATTAGGGTTGATTGGAATAGAGGTTGTACCTGCGCCAACACTGGCTTTTGGCGGATATATGATGCTACTATATTCAAACAGCTAACTGAAGAATGGCGGTTTAGGTAGCTTAGGCCACATGATCATCGATCAGGGTTAAGATTTTTTTTAGTATCTGCAAGTGTCTGAACCAGCATATACCCACACCTTGACTATTCTCGATCATGATCAAGTTTCAGTCTTGAGTTAGAATTATATCTCTTATGAACACCATTTACATATACTCTGTGTTCTATTGACACAAATTTTCTGTTCCATGGATTGATTACAGGTGAACTATGTTTCTTTCAATCCATATAACGAATGGATTTTAGCAACAGCATCATCAGATACCACCGTGGGTCTATTTGATCTACGAAAGCTTGCCGAACCACTCCATGTTCTTAGCAGCCACACGTATGTCTCTCTCTACATATCACTATCAAATCATCTGTCTTTATTTACATTTAAGCAAAAAACAATGATGTGATATTTCTTTGTGATCGTTTCTTGTGTCTAACTTCAGTGTGTTTGTTTACAATTCTTGACGAGTTTGTTTTTAGTTTTCTGTCGTAGAAAATTGTGTCTAACTTATACGCAGAAATAGTGTTATAAGCTTGATTTTTAAAGAACAAATGATGATCAAACGGGATCTAAGCTAAGGAAAGAGTATTATACTGATTGGTGACACAGGGAGGGAGTGTATGAGGTGGAGTGGGATCCAAATCATGAAACTGTATTAGCATCTTCTGGTGATGATAGAAGGTTGATGGTATGGGATCTCAACAACATGGGAAACGAGCAAGATGGGGATGCTGAAGATGGGCCTCCAGAGCTGCTGTTTTCACACGGAGGCCACAAGGCTAAAATCTCTGACTTCACCTGGAACGCCCACCAGCCTTGGGTTATAGCAAGCGTCGCTGAAGACAACTCTGTTCAGGTCTGGCAAATGGCCAAAGGTATTTATCGATGATGATTTCTACTTTACTCCATTCTTCAAATTTAGCCACTTTAAGGTTTTCTTATGTATCAGGAGTCATAATGTTATGTTTCTGCTGCTGTTTTGACAAAGATGGGCTCATTTTCTGTTCAACATGCTAAACTCGTTAGCCTATTCTCTTTACACTAGTGTAGCTGAGCCTGGCAAGATACTTTAGTCAAGGTATAGATCGAAAGTAATTACTGATAGGTTGCTTGACTTTGTGCCTATTACACACCGCTTATATCTTTAAAGGTTCAAGCCTGGGGCGAAGGCCAAAACACGTAATCAAATAAGAAACACAAAAGCTGCCTCTAAAGAAAATAATTCTCAGAATGCACATTAGAAACTGAAATCAAATAGAGAACAAAACCAATACAGTTGGGTGCTCTGCCTTTTGTTAGTTTTCATAGAGAAAGAAAAGGCTGAGTCGAAATGGTGTTCGAGTCCCCATTTGGGGCCAGTCAAATTTGCTCTACTTTCACTAACACAACTTGGCTAAGCTATTCCATCTCGCTTCTCCACATCCAAAGACGCGTATAGGAACTGGAGTGTTCCATATGAAGAAGCTTCGCCATTTCAGATGGGTCGAGAGGCGATCGATAACAAGATGATAATCAAATGTTGCAGTTGCGCAACAATACACTTATTGATCGAGGTATGCACCACCCCGCAGGCATTGACTGGATGAAGACGTTGATGTCTGACTAGACTAATCAGTTCATCAGGTCCATGTCTCTTTACGTCGTCCTAATAAGCGAATGACATAAGCGAATGACAGAACAAAAGAACAAAAGAGTTACAACTTATATCAAAAGAAACCTGTTATTTTCATAGGTCCCAACAAAAGTAGAATAAAATGGAAAACAATATGATTATATAACTATTCAACCAGGGCCAGTTCATAAAGCAAACATCTCCTTTTCATGATCCAGGAAAAACTAGGATAGGTCTCTTACCCACTAGATTCAAGATAAGGAACTTTATTTTGCTATCAAAAAAGTGAAAAAGATTAGGTCACATTATCTTAGCACGAGTAACACCCGATCGAATGTGGTAAACAGTTGGGCACTGTTTCTTCAAAAGAGTGGCCAATAAACACATTGCTGTCAAGAAACTGCTATATCATGTGAGGCACACTAATGTCTTTCACTATCTTACGTTTCTTATACAGAAAAAATGTTTTCCACCTGTGATTGTAAGGGCTTGTACGATCACAAACTATAACACTCCGAGCCCATCACTAGCAGCTATTGTCCGCTTTGATAGATTACGTATTACTGTCAACCTTACGGTTATTAAAACGCGTCTACTAGAGAGAGGTTTCTACACCCTTTTAGGAAATGTTTTGTTCCCATCTCTAACCAACGTGGGATCTCACAATCCATCCCCCTTGAAGGCTCAGCGTCCTCGCTGGCACACCGCCCGATGCTGGCTCTGATACCATTTGTAACAACCCAAACCCCACCGCTAGTAGATATTGTCCGCTTTAACCCGTTACGTATTGCCATTAGCCTCACAGTTTTTAAAACACGTCTACTAGGGAGAAGTTTCCACACCCTTATGAGAAATGCTTTGTTCCACTTTCTAACCAACATATCTCGCACAAACAATCCCTATTACTGAAATAAAATTAGAATATTATACTTTTAGACATCAAATCACAAAAGGCAGACAAACCAGGAAGTCATACATGGATCGGAGCAATCGACTAAGGACCTCAATGTTATGTGCCTATAATATTTTGCATCCACAAGTTAATACACAAAACAAGAGAGAAAATGAGCTGCAAAACTCAAACCTGCTTCAATGAACATGTGAGCCAAACAATGAATCAAGAGAAACATGTATCATATAACAAACAAAAACAAGAAAGGATTATCAGCAAAGTTAGCTCAAATTCAGCCAATTAATTACTCTAGAGAAGCATCATAGAAAATGGAGGCCCCAGTTTTCACCTTTTCTCTTTGTCACTCCAGAAGAAGTATCATTCGAAACAGCATTCCCCATCCCGTCCCCGAGTAGCTCTTTTGATCCCGAGTCATGATTCGCCAAACACTGAAGATTTTCGAATCCACAAGCACCAAAACTCTGTCCATTGATCACAGCACCTTCACCACTTCTACTTCCATTACCCTCAGGATGAAGGCAGTAAACCTGATCATCACACTGCATATTACATGGGTTCATCACATAAGCACCAGGGTTGCTTGTGTTGGACAGGTTGGGATTACCAGTTTTCTGATAAGGAAACGAACCAATCTCCCCTTCAATTCTGCCCCTAATATCCACAAGCAAACACTTGAGCCGAGTAATCTCAGCCTCCAATGCTGCCTGCCCTTGCAACCTCTTCATCAAATGCTGATTCAAAGCCCTCAATCTAACAACCTCATCCTCTAATGAGGCTGCCCTAGCCTTCTTCTTCTCACGATACTTACGAACAGCTTCCTGGTTGCCCAACGGGCGTTTCTTTGACTTCTTTTCAGTCGATTCCGCAGTATCATCAGTAACAACCTTGTCTTCTTCAGGTGAGGCAGGGAGAATTTTAGTGTGGACATGGAAACAGGTGTGGGTATGAGAGTAATCAGGGCCCGGTGGAATGCAAGTATGAGTATGAGTACAAGTATGAACGTCTTTGAGAAGATCATCAAAGAAACTATCCATTGAGCAACTGCTTGGAATCGCCATATTAGGGTTCGAAAACACTTCTTGATTCGAAAAATCAATCTCCCCGTCGTCCATTATCCAATAATGTAATACTAACCAGAGCAAGTAATTCAAAAATTTGATACTCAGCTACCGATTCCTGGACTCTAAATCAATAATTAAGCTTCTGAATCGAATTACGGAAATGAGATTTCAACTTTCAGCACAATTAATTACAAAATCGTGCAAAAGAACATACTAAATCTACCTCTAAGAGAATTTCAATAAAATCGTCAACTAAATCAACGAAGAACAACAATCAATGCGTCTGTTAAAAATCCGCCGCAGGATTAATAAAAAAGCGCCATGAAAACGAGGCAATGCTTACCAGATAAAACCGCTAAAGAAATCAAACCATGAAATCGAAGGGAAAAGAGAGCATTTGATAAATGAAAAACGAAAACCTAATTGGAAAAGACAAGAACAAGGAAGAACAGAGAGGGAAAAAAAATGAAAATCGTGTCTGAAATCTTCAATGGACGCCATTGAAGATAAATTTACAGGTTTTTGAAGGACAGAAATGTAATTTCGTAAACATTAAGGGAATTATTGGCTGCTTTTAAAACTACGATAAACTGACATTTGTGGGCCCGTCCGATTTCTCAGGTGCGATCGAATCAAATCAGGACCGTCAAAATATTAAGATTTTTTTTTTATAAAAAAATTATTTTAAAAAGCCATAAAGTTTCAATTATTCTCGAAAAAGTTGAGTTGGGTCGGAATATTTTTTAAACGATTTAAAATTTCGAGTTGTGTCCGTTGATAAATCAAGCAACTCAAACTTTTTTTACAACTCAATTCTCGGTTTTCGGGTTAGGTTGGGTTGTCGAAATAATTAAAAAATTCAAGTATATTTATGAAACTTTTAAAAGTTAGGACACGAAATTCACAGAATCATCCAAAATCATCCCTTTAGCCTTCACCTCTTGGCTGCCTCCTTCAAGGCCTTTATTTCAACTTTCTCCCCGTGACCTTCCGCCTCTTCCAACCATGCTGCAAGCCACCCGCTCGATTCACTTCTCCCTCCTCGTCCCAACGACGTCGTCTTTCTCTCTTTACTATCTACTCGTTGTTGGCGTTGTCTCTGGTTGCTTATTTCTACAGGCGCCTCATCAACGGTATCATCTTGTTGAGTTTCCATTGGCTTTTTGCTACCATCATCGTTCTGAATCCTTGGCACTTGACGTGAGCCTCTGCACTTGAGAAAGAAACAAGCCATAGAACTACGAACACTGACGAATTCAACGAACAAAATAATTAAACGAAACCAATTTGGTTTCTGTTTGATATACGGTTTCAATTGAATCTTCTTAAGAAATGATACAAATCTGATGTGGAACACACGTTCTTAAATAGCTACAAGCCTCTCGTTTATGTAACAATATTAGCCACACGTTAACATAACAAGACTTCATTTTGGTAGATGCAACAAATTGTATTATCCGTCCTCAAAAAATAAAAAAGAATAACACGTAACACTATATCGTTTAAAAAAACAAAAAAATTAACAAAAAAAACGAGAAAAAGAAGATAAAATATCACTCCGGGTTGTAATATCCAAATTTTTTTAAATAATAATAATAAAAAAAACATAGAAATTTTGGCGATGAGGAAAGAAAACGACAGAACCACGCCTTCTTTAGTGGCCTCATCGTCGATTGTTAGGAACCACTAGTCTCCACAATGATATATCATATCCATTGTAAGGTTAAAGATACAGTTCTGTTGAACTGGTTTGACCAGTTCGATCCGACTAGCTAGTTTGATTCATTTTCTCTGTTTTTCGAGCTAATTTTAACCATACTAATAATTTTATGATTTTAGGACCCGATTAGGAGATTTTGAGATCTCAATGAACCAAAAACATGTCTCAAATGAACTAAACGAGCCTAACCCGCTTCTAATCCCTTCAAACGGACACTTTGTATATCAAATTAGTTCAAACGTCGGAATTGAAAACATTTTGAACCCTTAAAAAAAACAAATGTACTTCAAGGAACTAAGCGTGTTTAGGATCCTACTCCTAAGCCTTTTAAGACCAAAACTTTATGTGTCGGGCTAGTTAAAACGTGCCTAAATAGCTAAACCCTAAACTTTATGTGTCGGACTAGTTAAAACCCTTTATTCATCAACTTACTTAAAAGATATTATGGATCATAAGAAACTAAAGTCGTGCTTTTAACTTCTAAGCCATTCAAGATTAGTAATTTAAACATTGAACTAGTTTAACTATGTTTTAACCGTTATTTTAGAACCTTAAGCAATTAAAAACGTGCCTAATTTGACTCGTTAACCTTTCAAAAGTATCGTTTTATGTGCTTAGAACGTAATTTCTCAAATAAATAAACGTATAGGTACATAATATCACTTTTAAAAAGAATGTAAATAATATCAGTGAACCCGACAAACCCGAAACAAAATCATCCCATTAGCTCGCTCATGGCGGCCTCCTCCAAGGCCTTTATTTCATCTTTTTCCGTATGGCTTTCAGCCTCTTCTAACCATGCTGCAAGCCACCCACCCAACTCATTTCTCTCTCCTCGTTGTCGTAGCGTAAATGACATCGTCTTTTGCTCCTTACTGTCTACTCGTCGTTGACGTCGTCTCTTGTTGCCTATTGCTTCCAGTGTGTCACCAACAGTATCATCTCGTTGAGTTTTTCTTGACTTCTTGCTACCATTATCGTCATGAATCCTTGACACTTGACGTGATGCTCTGCACTTGACAAAGAAACAAGTCATAGAACCAAGAACAAAATAAAAATACGACTGAATTTTTGTTTTGATGGGATGTTCTTAAGAAACGATACTCGTTTGAGGATAATCTTCTATAGAACATACATTCTTAAATAGGCACCGCCTTCTTTTTACGTAACAAGAATTAGCCACATAGTTACATAACAAAACTTAGTTTTGGCAGCTCGAACAAATAACACTACCTTCCTCAAAAAATAATTAAAAAAAAAAAGAATGTAGACCGTCATTATTAGACTAAATTAATAAAAGTACCCATAAACTTTCTATTTTATCTCGAGAAGACCATTAAATAATATCTTAAACTTTCAAAAAAAAAATCTTAAAAAAAATACTTTTACTATTAATTTTGGATGGGAACCGTTAGTAGGTTGTTTCAGAAATCCACTTAAACTTTACAGAGTTTTATTAGTACTCTTGAACGTTTTAAAAAAGTTAAAAAATGTCATTACCGATGGTACTATGTTTAAAAAATACCGACAAAATTTTAAAAGTAGCATTAACACTCTTTACTTTTATGAAAAAAATTTCTTGTCGTCAATATATGGACGAATGTCGTCTACTGACACCTCATAGATTATCTCAAAATTTTTTAACGTTACTTTTGAAAGTTCATGAGTATTTTTAAAACGTGATACTAACAGTGGGTTGAAGATGACAGTTTGACTTTTTCGATTTGACCTCAATTTTTCGAGTCAATTTCAAGTGTACTAATTTTATGTGAGATCCCAGTCTTTGAACCTGTTTGATTCATTTTTCTCTATTTTTCGAGTCAATTTCAAACCGTACTAATTATATGTGAGATTAGTTGTACTAATTTGGACAGAAAGAAACGGACAGAAAGAAACAACCGGTCCTTGGTTGGACAAGAAACAATATATTTACAAGGCTATGGAAACCTCTTCCTAAATTGTGAGGCTAATGACAATAGGTAACGGGCCAAAACGGATAATATCTACTAACGATGAACTTGAACTATTACAAATAAAATTAGAGTCAAACACTACGCGGTGTGTCAGCGAGAATGCTAACCGTAGGAGAGAGATGAATTGTGAGATCCCATATTTCTACGAGATTTACGGAACCATTTATACAAATTTGTATACATCCCAATAAAGACAAAAGATTTAAAATCATTTTTTTTTTTGTTATTTAGAATATTTATGATGTCAATAATAATTATCATTAAAGTACGGAACAAATACAAATAGAAAGGTCAGAAATTCGAATCAAACATAAACATGTTTAAATATTTAACCCATTGCATATTTGTGGGTCCAGCTCCTAGCGGTGGATTCATATTTGACTTTATCAGTCTTGCACATGTGAGCAATCTCTGGAACCAGTGGATCATCTGGGTTTGGATCGGTTAATAGTGAGCATATTGATAGCAAAACCTGTAAAATTCGAGATCTTTAGTATACTCAACCTTCGTTCTTGAGTATCGATACGAATCGAATTGTTAACGCGTTCATCTGGTCGACAAGTGGACTCATGAAACTCTTTAACTAAACGGGTTTTGATCGATCTTTCCTTTGTTTACATGTATGAAGATTTAAAGTTGAAATGAACTTACTTTCGATATCGTTAGTGCGGGACTCCATTGTTCCTTGAGGATATCCAAGCATATGTTGCCGTTGCTGTTTATGTTTGGATGAAACACTCGTGTTCTAAAGGCAACCTTAGGAGGCTTGAAAGGATAATCGGGAGGAAAATGAATGGAGACGAGAAAAACTCCACCGGCGTAGGGACTGTCATTTGGACCAATAATAGTTGCTTGCCAATGAAACATGTCCTCAGCTACAGGACCTGAAAAATACACGAGCATAAACTCAAATCCATGAACTAACCTAACGCATAAAGTTTTCATTTATTTGAACTAATCGAACCCTAATAAGTTCATCGAGTCGTTTGAACATCCTTAGATATTCAAAAATTTCCTTAAAATAATAAAAGTTATGGTAAAGAAATTGCTGAAAATCAAACCCAATTTTCAAAAACCAAGAACAAGATAATTATGGAATGAAACTAAACTTATATTCAGATATTGTCCACTTTGGATCGTTACGCATCGTCGTCAGCCTCACAGTTTTAAAGCTTGTATGCTATAGAGAGGTTTCCACACCCTTATAAGGAATACTTCGTTCCTCTCTCCAACCGATGTGGGATCTCACAAAACACTCTATTGGAGGTCCAGCGTCCTCGCTGGTACACCGTCTAGTGATGGGCTCTGATACCATTTGTAACAGCCCGAGGCCAACACTAGCAAATATTGTCCGCTTTAGCCCGTAACGTATCGTCATTAGCCTCACAGTTTTAAAACACGTCTGCTAAGAAGAAGTTTCCATACTCTTATAAAGAATGCTTCGTTCCCCTCTCTAACCGATGCGGGATCTCACGATTACCATATCAAACATGAATGAACCAAGCTCAATCTTACGAGTATTTAACACGAAAAGGTTATAAAAGGAAAAGTAGAAACAAAAATTAAACTTGGTGTGATCATAAAGTATCCCTAATTCACCTGCACTACAAGAAGTTGGTGGGTCTCTCTGCAAGTCTTTAAGCTCCTTCAATATTCTCTTGGACGCCATTGTTGCAACTTTTAAGCTTTTGATTGTACAGAAGAAAACCAAGGATGAAGAAGGAAGAAGAAGAACAAAACTGGTTTATTGCTCACGGCAAAGGGCTCCAAACGCTCTAATATAATGGCCACAAAGGGAGGGTAAAGGTTCTTTTGGACTTCTCAAAGTGGGAACAGAATAGATACTTTCCAAACATGATAATATAAGCTAATATATTAAGAATCTTGCGTGAATTTGATACCGAAACGACCGCTAGTAGATATTGTTCGCTTTGACCCGTTACGTACCGTTATCAACCTTATAAGTTTAAAACGCGTCTATTAGAGAGAGATTTTCACGTTGTTATAACAAATACTTCGGTTATCAAAGCTAGACACTGGACGTTGTGCCAGCGAGGACGCTGGACTCCAAGGGAGTGGATTGTGAGATCCCACATCGATTGTGAATAAGGGAAGTCGTCTTTGCCAATTCACATGGGTATGATAATGTTCACTCTGGTCCAAACCTCTATATACAAGTTTCATTAATTTAAGTTCATTGAGCTTGTCGAATTGAAGTCGGTGGAAAATTTTGGTCAAACGACGATAATTGGGAATTTTGGCTTGGTCCAAAGAATATTAAAGTTTTGACCACAAAATTAGGGTTTGGATTTTAAGAAAAAAAAAACATTTAGGACCATCTCCCGCCCTCTCTCCATCGTCGTCTCTCTCTCTCATGCCGAGGAATTCCTTCGGTGTGATCGACGATAGGGTGTAGTCGAGTAGCAACCTTTGAACCAACAACCTTTCCTATGAGGGCTCATTGACAGTTAGATTCACAAAAATGAGCGTTTTCGAATATTTTCTAGCAAGAAATCACGTTTCCCGAGTCATTTTTAGTCATCAGGTCACTACAGTGTTCAGATATTTTAAGTTTGGACCTCAGCCTTCATTGCTTTCCTTTTAGTTCCATATGAAAGGACTCGCACCAACAAAGATAATTGTTCTGACTTATATACCACAAGTTCTTCCTTTTCTAACCAATGTGAGACTTTTCAGTGTGACCCAATTATTAAAATCGCTCAAGATACCCCTTTTCAATGTAGTTTCTAGAAAAATAACCACATGCTCAAATTACGAGAAAACAAGAACAATTTTCAAGACACAGAGGTCATTATCAAACAAGAACTTAAGTTCTAAATATATCGATCATCAATACGAGTCAGATCATCAATACGAGTCAGTCATGGCCAGCTGTATCGCACAGAATATTATAATGTATATCAAATATACAATGGAAAGAATTACACAACATGGAAGGAAGATATTCGAAGTGAGCCAAGGGAATTAGATGGGCATTTAAAATTTTGTATATATTCTTTGGAAGAGAAATCAGATTCATTTTGGCTTCTCCATTGTCCATTGATATAAAATGCTTCAAAAATACTCCATTCTTTATTCCTCTTGTTTTTGACCATTTTGCTTTTCTTGGTTCCAATATCTGTGGCCTATTTTTGTAGGTAATGGATAAATCGGTAACGGTCTAAGCCCACCGCTAGAGATATTGTCCTCTTTGGGCTTTCCTTATCAGGCATCCCCTCAAGACTTTAAAACGCGTTTGCTAGGAAAAGGTTTCTACACCCTTATAAAGGGTGTTTTGTTCTCCTCCCCAACCAATGTGGGATATCATAATCCACCCCCTTCAAGGCCCAACGTCCTCGCTGTCATTCGTTTTTTTCTCCAATCGATGTGAGACCCCACTAAATCCACCCCCCTTCGGGGCCCAACGTCCTTACTGGCACACCGCCTTGTGTCTATCTCCTTCGGGGAACAACCTTCTAGCTTGCACATCACACGGTGTCTAGCTCTAATACCATTTGTAAGAGTCCAAGTCCACCGCTAGCAGATATTGTCTTCTTTAGGCTTTCCCTTTTGGGCTTCCCCTCAAGGCTTTAAAATGCGTCTGCTAGGGAAAGGTTTCCACACCCTTATAAAGGTGTTTTGTTCTCCTCCCCAACCAATGTGGGATATCACAATCCCCACCCCCCTTCAGGGCCCAGCGTCCTTATTGGCACACCGCCTTGTGTCTACCCCCTTTGGGGAACAACCTTCTCGCTGTCACATCCCCCGGTGTCTGGCTTTGATACTATTTGTAAGAGTCCAAGCCCACCGTTAGCAGTATATTGTCCTTTTTGGGTTTTCCCTTTCGGGCTTCCTCTCAAGGCTTTAAAACGCGTCTACTAGGGAAAGGTTTCCACACCCTTATAAAAGGTGTTTCGTTCTCCTCCCCAACCAAGATGGGATGTCACATATATAAAAAGCTGATTAAACAAAGCACAAAAGTTCATAGGATCAGACAACAACATCATGCTAAAAGAGTTATGGACTCATGAACAGTATAGGCATTGGCATGTAGTACGCAGCCAATTCTTAATGGAAGTTTATAATAATGAATCTAAAGGGAAAGAGAAGAGAAGATGCCTGTGATTATAGCTGAATCAAACAAAGCAGATCAGCTGCCATCATCTTCATAGGCCACACCGGCCGCTGGTACCTCAGCTGGTCACTGAAAATGACTCGGACCTTCCATGAACAACCGACCAGATTGACAACGACTATTCACCAAAATGTGTGGCACTGGCTAGAACCTGAAACACGAGGACAGTGACTCGAACGATCTTTAGATTTATCAAAATGAATCATCATTGGAAATGGCAAGAGCAAAGTTTGGAAATATTCAAAAACATGCATCATCAGTAATAAAAGCTTCAAGCATGAAAAATAAGAAAAGGGTTGACATGGGTTTAATCGGTTTCATCGTTTCATCTTTGTATACGCTGGATACGAGCACAGTAAATAGAACGACGGTAAGAGGATTGCAAGGGAAAAAAGGAATACATCTTGCATAAAAGCATAACTTAATTTAACAAGAAACACAACATGATCAGCAGCTCAATGAGAACAAAATTACCAAATATGATATCTAACAACGATGCCTAAAAGCACTACAGAAGAAGAAGAAAGCTTGTGGGGGTGGAAAGAAGGAAGGAGCAAAGCTTAGAATCACTTGCATTTGAAGCTAACCGGTATGAGACGTCCAATCGCCATCGTTATTATACCTATATTGCAAAAATTCAGCTGCAACTGTAACCTAAATTCCATCATTGTCCATACTGCCACTGTTGATAACTACCCAGAAGCTTTCTGAGTAGAGGAAGGAGACCAACAATAGCGATCTGAAGCTGTTCGGAGCTGTTTAACCGAAAGCTGACTTGCCCTGCTCCCCTGTTATTCAAATTCACACGAGTAATCAGGTTTGTAGATCGTCCAACAGGAACTTGAGATTGTACGTTGCAACCGATAGCAAGATCTCCGTGCCAATCCATGACCGAAAGCCCGAGAGTTGAAAGTGAACGACCCAAAGGATAATCTTTATCTCTCAATTGAGCTTCCAGACTGCCACCATAAGCTACATCTCCCCTGCCAGTCATTGCACCCCCGGTCACAACTAAACGAAATCGCTTATTAGCAATCAATTTGTCCTCAACTTTGAATCCTGCAGATAAGGCGTCGCCTAATACAGCAATTGATAGACCAGCAATTGCTTTGTTCTTCCTAAAATTAATGAACGTCGTCTCACCTCGTAGCGTATAGGCCAAATCCTTCCCAACAGTTTGCATATCAAAACCAATGGAGGATGATTTAGTTTCCCCATGCTTTATTGAACTGTTCATCTCTATTTGAACATTTGCATCCTTCTTATCCTTTGTAACTTGACCACTAAAAGAGATGGGTATTGCGTCTTTTACGACAAACAACTTCTCTGCGTTTATGCCTTCATAACCAACATCGTGATCCCATCCATGTGTTTCGAGTACGGGCCTAATTAGCCACTGGTTAGAGGAATCAAGATAACGATACCGATGAGTGGGATTATCAGAATCAAAGGAAGCAGGTAATGCCAAATCGGGCATGGGAACTGGAACGGATGCCGCAGCACCGCTATCTTCTTCTACGTTTTCACTATAGTCGCTGGGTTGACGTTTTGCCTCTGCAGCCATTTTCTTCATGATCTTCCTTCTCATTTTCTCTTCTTTCAGTTGCTTCTTCATAAAAAGTTTTTCCCTGTATTCCAACTCGTCAAAGTAGGCATTTTTCTGTTCTTTGGAGAGCTTTGCCATCTGTGCGTTCGTTAATCGTTTAAAAGGTGGCAATTCATCATATTCAGATTCATTTTCGGAATCTGACGATTCATCAAGGTCATCCTCAAGACCATCATCATCAGCAAACTGTTCTTCTGGCAGTTTCACTTGAGGTCTGGATTGAAGAAGGGAGGAGAGAAGGAACGGTAAAGGAGGTGACTTCGACCGAGGAGCAAATTGCCTTCCGGGAGGACTATCTTGCAACTTCAAAAGAGTGTTAGCTTCGGCCAGAATCTTGGATGCAAACGAGAGCAATAACAGATGAGGTTTCCAAACCTGACCATTTGGCAATACCCTTTGCCCAGCTCTGTTTGTTCTGCAAGCAGAGTGATTCTCCACTAACGAGACCGGATTCATAAGGCGCATATCGCCTGCAGCCTGGCGTATAGCTTGCTGTACAACATGAGATCGCTGCGTGACGAACATATCATAACTAGAAGCAGTACCATTTGGACCATCAGGTGGAGCAGATGCTGCATGAGTAAGAACCACAATTGCATTGAACCATATTGAAGGTCCAAATATTTCAGTAATTGTACGCAAGAGAGGCATGTCACTCGAATCCCGGCATTGCATGTCCAACCGATCAAGGTACAAAACAATATCTGGAGGCGTCTTCTTTATAAAGCGCTTAACAGAAAGAAGGATCTTCTCGTTTTGGCGCTGGTCTGACCAAGAAGAAAGAAGGCCAGGAGTGTCGATGACTCGCACTTTGATCCCCTGCACAGTTCCCAACACATCTTGAACCTTTTTTGTGCCCATTTGAAAAGCATCAGTACTGAATTTAACTTCATCGAATATGGAGTTGATGGTAGCGCTTTTACCCACGCCCGTCTTTCCAAGAACCATGATCGTACAAGTGAAATCAAGTGGTTCCTGCCCAGCTGCCTCCAGCTGCTCTGCCATGGCACTAGCACGGTCAAAGCTAAAGGCGCCAACCCGACCACCATTTCTTCCTCGAAGTTGCTCAGCTAATCCAAGACGGTATAGAACTTGTGCCACAACAACATTGTGCGGAGTTTGCCCAAGCCTGTGTGCAAGACGCAAGAATTTCACTCTTATCATCTGGAGTTGCTCACGAGTATCATCATTTTCCTCGGCATTCCCATTAACATGATCATCAATTTGTTGCATTTGAACATGAGATACAGTACCATTAACTCGAGGCGGCTGCACCACCCGAGGGGTAGGTTCCAATAATGGAGCAGCACGCCCAAGACCAGCTGGACGGGCTGGAGGAGAGGGATTTGTAGACTTTCCAGATGATGAAGCAATGATTGATGCAGGCTGAATTTCTGGGTTCCTGTTCACTTGAGTTTTGTCCTGCCCAACCTTATCTTTCCTCTCTGTCTTTTCGACCCCTCCAATGTCGGGGCCAGTATTGGAACTATCAGCAGGACGCTGACGTCCAGACATAATGCTTTCCTTCACAGTCACATCACTTTCACCACCCTGTATCTCCTCAATTTTCTCATCAGCTATCTTCTCAGAGGCCGAGATATCCTTAACCGTCTCCATCGAAATTCTAATTTCACCCACAGGTTTATGTTCATTGACAGAAGTAGTACCATTCAATTCACGAGATTCTGCAGACTGCTCGTCTGAGTCTTTCCCAGTAGAAGCATCTTTCACTTCCTCAATCCTGTGATCCTGATTCGTGGTAGTCATGCACGTCGAAGAGCTTTCTTCATCGTTATTATCCTCGTTAAGATCGATACCAGCTGAAGCCTTATTCATTTCTTCATTCCCATGGCCCGGCAGTTCTAGATCTGCATTAGGAGAATCATCCTTTAGCTCACCATTCATATTATCTTGATAGTCCAAATCAAGGACAGCAGGTGCATTTAACGGCTCGTCGGTCTTCTCATCATGGTCTGTCGACTCCATACCTAAGCTCTTCTTCTTCAATTCCACACCATTGCCATTTTCAGTTCGAATCTCGCTAGTAGAATCCAGCTTCGTCCCCTCTACCATATCAGCAGTCTTATTCACCAAGTTGTCTTCCTTTTCAGACTTCATACTCATAGAACCAAATGTCGAATCATCCCGATCCTCACCCTTCAACACTCCAACCTCTGGACTAGCACCGTTCTCCAATGTTTCCTTTCCCGAATCATCTCTACTAAAATTCGACTCATTCAAATCCGAACTCACTACTTCCTCTTCAATTCCTCTCTCATCAACATTAGTAGCCACAGCTACATTGTCAACCAAATTACCACCCAAGTCCTCCTTCTCCTTTCCCGAAATCACATCTTTCTCCACCGCCGTGTTTTCATTCACTCCACGAGAAGCCTGTATCGCCTCTTCAAACTTCTCTTCATCGCGGGCACCATTAAAATGATCAGAAACTAATCCAGATTCAAAACCATAGACTTCTTCTTCAGCAACATCTCCATTCACAGAACCATATTTTGAACTCTGCTCTATCAAATGCTCTTTCCCATCTTCCTTTTCAGTAACCTTAGATTCACAAGAACCAACTACAACTCTTTCATCTACACCATCTTCCACAAATTTAGTCTCTCCATGGTGCAAAGCATCAACAATCTCAACCCCATTTTCCATCACAAATCTAAAACCTCAGCCACAAAGTTCTACACACACCAAAACCCAAATCAAACCAAAAACAACAATGATCCAAACAAGCACAAAATGGCAAAATCAACACAAACCCAGAATTCAAAAAGCTTTAAAATCGAAAACCCTAGTGCCCAAATCCAGAAATGAACAGTTAATCACATTTTAACGCCCAACCCACGTCCTGCTAATTCAAATACTATCCCATAGCCATTAGATCCTCATTGAGTAACAATGTTTAGAACAGGATTTCACATGGATCAAAACAAAAGCAGAAAGAATCCAAAAGAAAACAAACGAACATCAAATAGTTGCATTCAGTAAAAGAATCAGAAACTCACCGGATTAAGAAGGTGGGCAAGAGAGAGAGAGCTTTTAGGTAGAGAAAAAGTTGAGAGAGAAAGGAAGTCTGTGATTGTTCAAGATTATTAAGAAAAAGAGGAAGAAAATTTTCTTTCAAATTTCTTACTCTTTCTTCTCTGTATTGCTTATCTACCTCACTACATGAAAATACGAAGAAATTAGAGATAAGACTTTGATCGACCGCTCGCATTTCATCTCAGCCTTTTCATCCGACGGTTGGAGAGGGAGGATTAAATCGCAAATCTTGATGACGTGGATATGATGTGGACTGAATCTGGAACGCTCGTGGATTGTTGGTGGGCGAATTGAACGGTGATGGTTGATGCGTTCGAGGGCCACGGGTGTTTCACGTGGCTGAAATTTTATTATTATTTTTGTAAATAGATTTGGAAAAAGACATTTCAAAGGTATTTCTTATTGGAAAGTAAACATTTGACTTGAAAAATTTATTCTTTTATTTAATTAAGATAATAAATTTTTTTTTGTCTTCAAATATTAAAACTTTTTTTTTAAATTAAAAATTATCCTCGTACATCGATACGAGTTTTTCTAGCATGTTTTGTTTTTACTCACATGCATAATCACTCTAGATTTGGCCTCGGCGACCCAATCATGATATTAATGGATCAGACATTTTCTCGAAAAACACCGGATCCCGAGATGAGTTGAAGATGGTGGTTTCGAATAGTATATGAGCGGAGCGAGAGCGACTAGAGTTTACTTCAGGAATAGAGGTTTTTGATGTAGTTGTGCACGTTTTTTGTTTTTTCATCATAGCAGGTCACCCAACATAGAATTGTTCTAAGCTAGTAACACATGTTTAACTTTGTTGAGTTACTATAAAAAAAAAAAAGATACATCTTATTAATATTAGGGCTAACTCTTGATTGTAACAGCCTAAGTTCACTGTCGGGCCTCCCCTCAATGTTTTTAAATGCATTTGCTATAGAGAGGTTTCCACACCCTTTTAAACAATACTTCAGTTTTTTTTACAATCGATGTGGGATCTCACAATCCACCCCCGAGACCAGCGTCCTCGCTAGCACACTGTCTGGTGTCCACCCCCCTTCAGGACTCAGCGTCCTCACTAGCACACCCACCCGATGTTTGACTCTGATACCATTTGTAACAACCCAAGCCCACCACTAGCAAATATGGTCATCTTTGAGCTTTCCTTTTCGGGCTTTTCCTCAAGGTTTCTAAAACGCGTCTACTAGGAAGAGGTTTCCATACCCTTGTAAAGAAGGCTTTGTTCTCCTACCCAACCAATATGGAATCTCACAATCCACCCCCCTCGGAGCCCAGCGTCCTTGCTGGCACACCGCCTCGTGTTCATCCCCTTTCGGGACTCAGTCTCCTCGCTAGCATATCACCCAGTGTTTGGCTCTGATACCATTTGTAACAGTCCAAGCCCACCATTAGCAATATATTGTCCTCTTTTGATTTTCTCATTCGAGTTTCCCCTCAAAGTTTTTAAAACACGTATGTTAGGGAGAGGTTTCTACATCCTTATAAAGAATGCTTCATTTCTTTCTCCAACCGACGTGGGATCTCATACTGATATTACAGGATAACTCTAATCAACTCTATATGTACTCGAGAATCACTAATGCCTCATACTTACACGCCAACCGTGAGTAATTTCCCGTCAAAAGGAATAATAAAAGGGGTTTAGGGCAAATGTGGATAGCCAAAACAAGACAAGGAGAAAGCAAATTCATAAGAAATTGGTAACATGACACATTTTTGGTAATATGCTTGCAAACACATCAATGTCACATGTTTTTCTATCCCAATAATGTAATTGGTAAATCAATAATTCATCTATCTTAAAAAAAAAAAAAAAAATATTTAATGCCTCAAAAGTTATTAAAAACAACAACATTTAGGGTTTAGGGTTAGAAATTTACGAGTTTTTATGATAATGTTGGTGTAACGTCTCTACTTCTGGCATAAGACCGAACTGTTACTATATGCATGTCATATGTCTAGCTCTAATATCGTTTGTAACAGTTCAAACCCACCGCTAGTAGATATTGTCCGTTTTGGCCTGTTATGTATCGTCGTCAGCCTCACGGTTTTAAAACGTGTCTACTAGGGAGAGGTTTGTCGATTGTGAGATCCCACATCGATTGGAGAGAGGAACAAAACATTCCTTCTAAGGATGTGAAAACCTATTCCTATTCCTAGTAGACGTGTTTTAAAACCGTGAAGCTAACAATTATACGTAATGGGTCGAAACATGCAATATCTACTAATGGCGAACTTGGACTATTACATCTCGTGTCTGGTACTGCACAGTTCCACTCTATAAAACTCCGAATCATTCTCTTCAAACTCAATTGCTATTTTCTCTAGTTCATCATGGTCACGGGGGAAATTAGGATTGAAGCCCAATAGATATTCCAAATTCTTTTATCTTACTTTCATTATTAGTAACAGTCCAATCCCACAACTAGTAGATATTGTCCATTTTGGCTCATTACGTATTGCTATCAGCCTTATGGTTTTAAAATGGTTTGTTAAGAAGAAGTCTCCACACTCTTATAAGGAATGTTTCGCTCCCTTCTCCAACCGATATGAGATCTCACAATCTACCTTTTTAGGGGCCAGCGTCCTCGCTAGCACCTCGCTCAATGTCTAGCTCTAATACCATTTGAAACAGTCTAAGCCCACTGCTAGTTGATATTATCCTCTTTAACTCGTTACGTATCGCCACCGAGACTAATGATGACTTACTCGAATCCTCTTTTGAAGTTTAATATGGTTAAGGTACATAGCTTCTTTTAGCTCTTTTACATACGAGCTTGTAAAGGAGACATGCAAAACTACTTTACTAATAGGTGAAGGAGTTCAGTCGAATTAACTTTTCTTCTTCTTACCTTACTCTCCTCATTCTTTCGAAGTTTAGTCCAATGGGCGTGAAGAAATAAAGGTCAAACACTCATACCTAACGGTAATGAGCAACGATACAATGAGAAGATGAGGTACTCCGAACACCCAATTTAAAAAGAAGGTTCGAAGGTTTTGGGCATGTAGCTTTTATCCGCCTTTAGGTCAGGTGATACTTATGTGTGGGGTGTGCTACTAGAAACCGGCCTTGGAGCTCTCGCCTTACCAATGAGCCGACAACTGATGGCTATTGGTCGCAGCTACTACCAAAAACCGAGCTTATTTTGATTTGTTTCCATATTTGAGTATGTTATAAATTTGGCACCATTACCTTTTTAGTGAATGCATAATGGATAAAACAAAAATTTATAATTAATCATAAATTTAACAACATATAATTTTGTCGTTATTCCAACTAAACACATTATATATATATATAATTGATTTAGTTCTGCGTTTATTTTTTAATTTTGGTGTAGAGGAAAAAGTCATGTAATTTATTTCCAAATAAAAATAATGAATAAATAAAAAATTAGAAAATATGGATAAAAAACGGCAAAGAAGATATTTTAGGAGTGAATTCCCGAAATTACCCTTAGCCGTTAAATTTCCGTCGCAAATCGCACGGCGAAATGCTCCAATCTAACGCAGAGGAGAGGAAGAGCCCTGGTCGTTAGATCTCGTCGGAAACTTCCCGGCGTAGAAGAGAATCGGACGGTCAGCATGGAATAACGTGACCCCACAAAATCACAAATGGAAAAAGCGTCGTTTACGGATGACGGGGCGCTCTTCCCGTTTCCAAGCTTTTCGATTCACAAAGTACGTTTCTCTTTTCTTTTATATATATATATATATATATATATAGATATATATATAAACCCCATTTCTCTTATAGAGCGAGAAACTAGAGAGAGAAAAGAAAGTGGAGATTAGGGTTTTTCAGTTGTTGGGTTGTGAGGAAGAAATCGAGAAATGGGGGAAAGGGTTAGTGGAAAAGTGAAGTGGTTCAGTGACCAGAAGGGCTATGGCTTCATCTCTCCCAACGAGGGAGGTGAAGATCTTTTCGTTCATCAGTCCTCGATTAGATCCGAGGGTTTCCGAAGTCTCGGCGTCGGCGAGGATGTCGAGTTTCAGATCGAGGCGGAGGCTGATGGACGATCGAAGGCCGTGGATGTCACTGGCCCTGGAGAATCATCTGTGCAGGGCAGTCGCGGTGGAGGCGGCGGCGGAGGTGGTTCGTACGGCGGTGGTGGAGGTGGTGGGTATGGAGGCGGGGGAGGTGGAAGAGGGAGACGTGGTGGGTATGGGTTTAATGGAGGTAGCGGCGGTGGTGGGCGAGGTTCATACGGTGGTAGTGGAGGCGGTGGGTATGGTGGGGGTTATGGTAGCGGTGGTGGTGGTGGTGGTGGTGCTTGTTTTAAGTGTGGTGAGGCTGGGCATATGGCTAGAGACTGCTACCAGAGTGGATCTCAAGGCGGTGGAGATAGGTACAGCGGTGGCGGTGGCGGTGGCGGTGGAAACTGCTATAGCTGCGGCGAATCTGGGCATTTTGCTAGAGAGTGTCCCAGCAGTGGGCGTTGATGATCGCGCTTGTTTGATTGCTTGAATCTGGGGGTGTTTTGTTCGGTTTTCAATCTTCACCGTTCATCCCAGTTCCGATCTACTCTTACTGGGATCTGTAGGTCATCTTTTTAACAGGATTTGAGTAGTTTCTTCCTTTCTTTCACATGGATTTCGATCAGTTTAGTTTCTGTTTATTGTCTTTTGGGTGTTAATGATATGAAGATGACGACGATCATGTGATATCATGATGTTTGTTTCAGCGATCCTTCGAACAAGAGATTCTTCCTTGATTCTCTCTGTTTCTTTAACTGTTGATACAACTATTTCTTATACAATGCCTCCTGGTTTTCAATGAATCAATGTTCTGTTCTATCTCTCATCATGTTTTCTTCATATTAATTCTCGTTCCCTTTTTCCTTCGCAATTATTGCCCACTTGTAAAGGGAAATATGCAGGCTGGAAAGAAATAAAGTGCTTTCTCTTTTGTTGATATCAACATCTTACAGTGTTGATATCACTTTTGATTATGAATGTGATGAATGGATACTCATAATGGTATTGAGAATCAAGAAATTGCTTCTTGTTCTTCAAGAACAACAAGCGCCTCTGTAGAACAGAGCAGAACAGAGTAAAACAGAGCAAGTTTTTTCAGTGGTTTGTT